CAGTTTCCCCGGCTGAAGTACAGTACCCACTGCACAGTACTCCAAAGGACAAGGGTGCATATGACACCTGAACATACACAAATCTTTAAACATCTCAGGACCCCACCTCCCGCTGGGACCCTCCCTTCCACCATCCCCCTCACTGCTGATTTGTTGTGTGTGTGTGTGTGTGTGTGTGTGTCTGTGTCTGTGTCTGTGTCTGTGTCTGTGTCTCCTCCGGTTGTTGTTTTTTAATAAAAGATTTGTTTTGGTTTGAAAGCCACCGTTATTACATTAACTGAATGCAAACATAGCCCTGCAAAGCAACAGTCCATTTTCTTAAACCTTCACAGTGCATCATCCGCACCAACATAATCACCTCCTAGCATTACAAGCACTGCACTCCTGAGCGTAGAAACAAATATTAGTGGCTTTCAGCTTCAAATGGCTGCCTCAAGGCATCCCTCATCCTTATGGCCTCGCACTGTGCCCCTCTAATAGCCCTGGTCTCTGGCTGTTCAAATTCAGCCTCTAGGTGCTGAGACTCAATGGTCCAGCCCCGAGTGAAGCTTTCAGCCTTCCCATCACAAATATTATGGACCGTTCAGCACGTGGAAATAACCATAGGAATATTGTCATTGGCCAGGTCCAGCCTCCCATATAGGCAGTGCCAGTGGGCCTTTAAATGACCAAGAGCACATTCAACAGTCATTCTGCACATGCTGAGCCTGTTGTTGAACCGCTCCTTGCTGCTGTCAAGGTTCCCCGTTTATGGCTTCATAAGCCACAGCTTTACGGGGTAGGTGGGGTCTCCCAGGATCACAATGGGCATTTCAACTTCCCCTACGGTGATCTTCTGGTCTGGGTAGAAAGTTTCTGCTTCCAGATTCCTGAACAGGCCAGTGTTCTGAAAGTTGCATGCGTCATGCACCTTTCTGGACCAGCCTGCTTTAATGTCCATGAAACACCTATGGCGATCCACAAGCGCCTGGAGAACCATAAAGAAATACCTGTTGTGATTAATGTACTCGGTGGCTAGGTGGTCCGGTGCCAGAATTGGAATATGAGTGCCATCTATCTCCCCTCCGCAGTTAGGGAAGCCCATTTCTGCAAAGCCACCCACAATGTCATGCATGTTGCCCAGAGTCCACGGTCTTACGCGGCAGAATGCGATTAATGGCCCTCCACACTTCCATCAACACGAGTCCAACGGTTGACTGTCCCACTCTGAACTGGTTAGCGAACGATCGGTAGCTATCCGGAGTTGCCAGCTTCCACAGTGCAATCGCCACACGCTTCTCCAACAACGGGGCAGCTCTCATTTTTGTGTCCTTGTGCCACAGAGCTGGTGTGAGCGCATCACACAGTTCCATGAAAGTGGCTTTCCTCTTTCGAAAGTTCTGCAGCCACTTCTCATCATCCCAGATGGGCATGACGATATGATCCCACCACTCAGTGCTTGTTTCCTGAGCCCAAAACTGGGGTTACACTGTAGTCAGCACCTCCGTGAATGCCACAAGCAATCTCATGTCATAGCTATTGCGCGCGGTGAGATCAATGTTAGACATGTCTTGCCTTTGTAGTTTAAGGAACAACTTCACTGCCACTTGTGACGTGTTAGTCAGAGCGAGCAGCATGTTGGTCAACAGTGCGGGATCCATTCCTGCAGACTGAAGAGGCAGAGTGCACACTACGCAAACCGTTGAAAGATGGCGCCAAATGTGGAAGGAAGTACAGGGATTGCTGGGATGCAAAGCAATGCATCATAGGGCATTGGGACAGGGCCCAGGATGCCTTGCAACCCCCTCTGCCTTCCTACAACACTTAGCGGCGGAAGAGGAAGACATGCTCTGTGGGATAGCTTCTGAATGACGATGCAAATGCCGCAAGTGTGAACACGCTATTGCACAGGCAGCTGACAGTGTGAACACACAACAGCGGTTTCCCTTTAGCACTCACTGAGTGGCGCTGTAACTGCCGGTGAAGAAAGTCTGCCACTGTAGACACACCATGAGTATGCGTCTGGGTTTTAGAGAACTTAGAAAAAATGGATATTATACAGCAAACTAGACTCAACTTTGTCCAGAGCACAGTTACTGCCCCACTATAATGAGAAAAACTGTGTCATCTCACAATGAACCCTCCGACTCCACTTATTACCCTGTTGAAGACATTAAAACATCAGAAGTTACTGACCTGCTACCTGTAGTTCCAATATAGCCTCTTCATAAGAGACACTGGACTGAAAAAAACACTTGTATTGCCCATTGTCAGAGAGTCGCACATTGCGTATTCTCAGGGAAACACTCCCATCGGTGATGTGGTCTCTTAAGAGCTCAGTTCTTTCTTGATATTCTGGTATCTGCTGTCTGTACTGATCCTGTCCATCACGGTACAGGTGCACAACTGCGGAGAACTGGGATCGGAACCATCTCACCTCCATGTTCTCAGCGCTCATCCTGGGGGAGAGGTGGCAGGGCAGGACGGCCTCCCCACCTAGGGAGGCAATGACTGGGTGGTCAGGTCCAGTCACTGTAAACTGTGCTGTGAAATGTACAATGAAAAAAGGAAATTAAATCAGCGAGGAGCTGGGGTGTGGTGTTAATTCAGCAGTAAGACACACAGTAAGAGAGCGCCCTGCATTAGAAGTGAGACCATTTAAAGACAAAAGCCTGACAGAGAAAACTTACCATAAACCAATAAAAGGTCTGAACATATGTTATGCTTATCCCAAAGAAGTCTCATCTGGCACATGGGACTCTTTGGTAGGTTCCAAAGTCTTTCAAACCTTTCTCTTAGGGTTTGTCCTCTTGGTTAACAGGTCCTGTCACTTTGCAGCCCAAGATCTCGGGCCTCTGGTCAGTTCAAAGCCAACTTTTATACCAAAAATCTTTATTCTCTTGGGCTTCTGGGACCTGGTCTAACCCAGTTTATGCAATTCTCCCGAGGGGTGGTACTTCTCTGGAGCTGTTACCTGTCCCACAAGTAATTATTCCCCCTGGTTTGCAAATTCTGAAGGAGATGGGGTAACCCTCCCCCATGGCATAGATTACAATCCCAAACCCACAACGATACATATAACATGTATAGATACCATTGATAAAGGGGGTACAAAAATAAACAGAACATGCATAAAGTGAATTTGATAGTCCCCAAAATGCCGTATGTGGCTGCAATATCTGTCACACAGAGTTCACATGTGAATGTTATACACTGTCCCTACTATCTCTGAATAAACCTCTAACTTCTCATGGACACCCTGGGGCCTGGTTCTCTGATACACCAAGGCCTTTTCGTGCTGCTCCAGCACAGGGGCCTCCTCATCTGCAGAAGGGGGGTGTGAAGGCTGACAAGGTGTAAAGATATGAAAATAGATCATCGCTATGCGGGCAATGACTATAAAGGTAAAGTCAGAGGTCAGATAATGGAAGGAGGGGAGGAGGCAAATAGAAAAGTGCAAGAAAAAGAGAATCGGTCACTGTGGAACTGCACAGGATGTGGGGGTCTCGGTGCAGAGACTCAGCATCAGGAGAGACAGAGAGAGCTGGTTAAATTAACAGGATGGAAACCACAGCAGGAGGGAACCAAAATGCCTGAGTAGCTGTGGATCCGGGGGTGGAGTGGGTCACTATCAGGACTTCACTGAAGGCACAGAATGAAGAAGCCAGCAAATATCTTCACATCCTCACTGTGAGATGAGGTCTAGCTCTGAGCCCTAGTCACATGTGCCTAGTGCAGCATGAATGACTTGTGGGTTGTTACGTCTAAACTGGAGAGTCTAGGACTCAGGACTCCTTCATGGCTGAAGAGTCTGATTTGTGACATATATGGTCTGTCAGTGCAGTGTATAGGAATTGGATAGTGTCCTTTTAAATAGTTTGCGAGCCCTGTAGTGGTGCTCACTGTGTTCTGTGTTTTAGAAGCTGTCAGAAATCAGCCAGAGCAGTAGGAAGGATGTAGTGTCAAGGCCTGACAAGATGGTGTATAGATAGTAACCATGGTTACTGGGGACCCAGGTGTAGCCTGTGATTTCTCCATGTTGCTGGTTGTGGGCAGGTTGAGCAGACGTGGTTTACAAGACAAGGCAGTGATGTGAGATATACGCTGACGACCAGCAATAGCGACAGCAGCAATCCCAGCCAGGAGGCCGGAGCTCCTACCTGACGCCAGCCTGTGAACCTGTAGAGCGAGGCAGAGAGCGACGTAGCCGGGCAGAGCTGAGCGCACCTTGGAGCAGGGGGAGAACGAGGGAACCTTCCCCATCATCGTAGCTTGGTCTGGGGAACAGGAGAAATAACAAACCAGACGGTGAGTGAGTGAGATGCAGTGACAGTGCCAGGTTTCATAGCCCTGGTCCATTGGTCAGTTATGTTTACATTAGCACAGATCCCAATATTCATAGACTAAGGTCAGAGGGGACCATTAGATCATCTAGTCTGATCTGTGGCACAGGCCAAACACTCTCACCCATTTATCCCTGTACTGAACCCAAACTTGTGTTTGACTGAAGCATCTTCCAGAAAGTCACCAAGGGTATCTCTACACTACGGGATTAATCCGAATTTAGATAATTCGGATTTGAAAAACAGGTTGTATAAAGTCGA